CACTTGATTCAATTACCTGTCTCTATATCTATCGATCTGCAATTATTTGCCGGGCTTATATACTAAAATAGAGGGCACCTGGAAAAAACTAGAGTTGCCAGGACAATTCACGATCCTTCTAGAGACTCATCACGTGTTACCAGCGTCACGTGAATTCCGCTGTCGTAACAGTAGCTTTGAGCATATCAAGAAAACAAGTTATGATATATTTTACTTAGTGGTGAGGGTGCTCGACTCGCAATATAAGGATTACAAGATCGAAACTCGTCCCCGAACATGCTCGTTTTGTCAAACGTGAGAACGTTATAATACAACGGATAAGCCCACTATTCGTTGGTAAAGATTAGCATAAGAGTAGGCGGTGGTCTGTGTTGACTAGTTGCCTTTCCTGTAGTTTAAAATCATAGACAGTTAACGCATATAGCCTTAGAGTACTTTTGAGCGAAAATTCAACAAACAAACTTTTTAATCTTAGTCCTTAGTCCTTTTTTTTCTTGTTGTTCGTTTGTTTTTGTCACAATCTCTGGCGAGATGCCTATTCTTGTAATAAATAAATGAATCAGTATCAAAGCCGTTTTATAGACGAATAGCTCTTTTATCTTTCTGTTGGTTCAGTGTTCTTTTGTACATATAATATAATCAACACCTATAGTTGGGAGTGATTCAATTTGCTTTGGTTTTATTTTTTCTTCGCACCCCGATTTTTTGGAGTGAAAATGTATCACCGTGCGCTTAACTGTCAACACTGGAATAGACAGATGTCACACTGACATGTAAGTGTTGTTAAACTTTATTTTATCTAATTAATACGGTACTAAATGATAAAATTAATTTGATAAATTAAATGTGAATTAACAAGGCTGTTTCACTAGTTTGCCACAGAGGGCTTTAATAATTGTCAAAGTTCTGCAAGGAGTAGAATATAGTGGCAGATATATTTTACGCTTGGTAATATAGTATTAAGATGGTTTATGCATTTTTAACGATTGATGTATTAAAGCGAAAGAAAGTAATATATAATGTCTGCTTTGATGCCGGAATTCCGCTGGTTTCACAGACACCTGAAAACGAAAGAATGTCAAGTAAAGTAAGTTTTGAAGACGATAAAACAAGTTCAGGTGCAGAAAATCGATGTTTAATTATTCATGAGACGAGGAATCTAATTGTAGATTTCATTTATAATCACGTGCTTAAAGAATACGAAAGAAGCAAAAAAATTCCAACTCCTTCACCACTTGGTTACCTCGATGTTACAGGCTCATCACTTGGACACTTGGATGTAACAGACGAGTCTCAAGTAGGTGGAACATTTCCTCTGTTTATCGATAATAACCTTTCGAATACATGTAAGATTGTCTTCTGGCACACGTTACGTGGTTTTTGCTACGTTCTAGTGTGCGAACAACATGAAAACAGGTTACTTGCCATTAAGATACTTAAAGATATTTTATGTAGTTTAGAACTACAATATCCTATTAAAGATAAAGGGTTAAATGCTGAAGTAATTTCTACAGTTGTGGATGCCTTTCTTCCAAATGGACAGTTACAATTCATGCATAATCGTGTGATCAAAATGTTAAGGAAAAATGTGGAGCACGTGCTTTGTGATAGAACATCAGGAAAATATGCCTTTGAACTTGAATATTTCAAATTTTAATATGGTAAAATTATACTGTTTTGTATGTAACATTAGTTTATAAAGACCAAAATGGAGTTTAGTCAATTATATATATTCGAGCTATCTTCCTTTGTTATTCAGTTCTTGAATTATTGTTTAATACCTTTTTTTTATTATTATGTAACAATTACATAAAGAAAACTGATATTATGTTTATGGGCTTGATCTGCTAAGTATGATATTGTACAACGGTGAGTAAGAAGGCAATGTAGGTAAGGTCTAAGCCTTTTCACTAATACTAATAGCTGGGTTTCAGCAGTCGACACTTGGTAAAGAAGTAAAACTTTAATCAGAAAGTGTCAAAGTTTTTACTCTCTTAGAAAATGTAGAGGTCGATACGTTTTTAAAGTTTGATTATTTATTTTCTGTCCTGATGATTTCCTTTTGAAAATTAAACATCTTTAATAATGCAACTAAAAATTTATCCTTTAAGGAAAAAAGTAGAATTAAGGATGTTATTAGAATATACTTATTGAAATGCATACTATACTGAAAAGGCTTGAATATCGTGTATCTTCTTATTGTTGTACAATATTAAATTTAACCGATCAAGCCAGAAGGGAAAGGTTTTCATCATCCTTTACTGATAATTTGTTGCAAAGTTTCTTCCCAATTGTCTAGTTCAACATAAAATGTGTACTGTTACAACGATGTGGTATTTGTATATTTGAACTGTGCATCTTTTTCTTCTACTTGTATTTATTTTTCTTGCTTAAAAAAAGGCTATTTAAATTTTCAGTAACTGTTTTAGTTTTTTAGATTGTATTTAGGCTTATAGATCATGGTTAATAGGTTTGGTTCAGTACTGTATACAAATAGAATTATGGATGCTTATGGATATGTATATTAATAAGCTCGTTTTCTTCTCAGAAGTAAAATAATATGTTGGTACTGAATTATATTATTTTGCACCTTGGTATTATTAGTTACAACTAGAATGTAACTTCCCTCAGGTACATCCACTAAACTTTTTTTACTATTTGGATTTTGAGTTCAGATTTTGCTATTGATAATGACACAGTTCTTGCATTAATTCATACTCTTCTGTTAATCTGCACATCAGTGCCAACTGACAGTATTAGGCTATTACAGGTTTTTCACTTTTACTTATAAACACACAATACTTTCAAGTACCTACATTTTATCATGATTGGAAAAAAACTGAAAAAATGTTAGGAAAGCTATCAATGTAACAAGTGCACTGAGAGTATTATTTTATATTTGAATATGAACAGTAAGAAATACCACAAATGTATTAATCAAGTTGATGATTTATTAGATTTGTATGAAGTATATGAATACTTGTTTTTTCCTATATTCTGTTTCTGGATGATATATAGCTAACTGCATAATTCTTTAGGAAATCTAAATAAATATTTTTGTAACAAAGAAAGAAATGTGGAAAGATTAATGATGTGCAATAGAATCAAAATATTGCTGGTACTTGTAATAAACTGTATATAATAAAACTGTACGTGTATCAGTTTCAATGACGAGCCTTTGGAAAAAATGTATAAAATTCCACAACACGTAGTGATGATACATGTATGGTGTTGTTTTCTGTGTTAAAAGTGTAATTTCAGCTGTTGTCTATCAATGTTGATCTTGTATAAAAATACTAATAAAAGTTTATTGGCTTCATTATAATATTATACACAGAAAATAAAATGTTATTTTAATTAATAAGTTGCATAACTAAGTAGAAGAAGACATTAGATGTGATACATTATTTGTTAAAAATTTCCTTAGCTTTTATCTTTTTAATGCAGTAATTCTTTTCTTAAAACTCTGAAAGAGTTTGGTATAAATTGTAGTGACCTACTTTTGTTACTGATATTAAACTGAAACTAAAATGCTTAAAACTATATAGAGAAAGAAAAGTTCTTTAACAGTTAAAATTCTAAAATGAAATAATTCAAAAATTTAAATCCAAATATTTATGTATAACACATATACAGGGTGTCCATAGGTAATTTGCAGCTGTTCTTAATTTCAGATACGTGACTGATCATGATGCTGTCAAAGCACGAGAAGGTTGAGTTAATCCAAACTTGATTCGAATTACAAGGACAGCTCATGAAACACAATCTGGAAATTTCATTTAAGTGTCTATGGTTACAGACTTATTAATACACACAGATAATTCATTGTATTTAATGAGAATGATCTGCTTATTACTACAGATACGAGCCATGGCACCACAGAGGACATGTTTAGCAACTAAACATGTGGTTTTCAGCAATATCCTGAGCATTCAACAGTACGAAAGCTGCTACAAGTAGAGTTACAACTAGAGGAATATATTATTGTCCTTTCTAGGAAGGATATTTATATAATAAGATTGTTAAATGATGTATATCTAATATTAAAGGACGCAGCATTTCAAAGCAGGGGCTACTAACAATTCCCATGGTAGTTAAAAAATTCAACAGTACAGTTTTTAATACAACAAAGAGCTTTGAGATCAAACCACAAGCTGAAGGCTGTGGTAATGAAAGAGAACCCTCAGTCCCAAAAAGCGCTGTTCCCAATGGAACTAAGTATATCTCATGCTACTATTTACAAAGTAATAAATGAGCATTTGAAACTGATGAAGACTTGCAAGCTTCCAGCCACACCTGAAAATTAGTGGTTATTTTCATGAGAAAGATGGCCAAAGAAATTTGAACCACACTAATTCTGCTTAACTATATTGCTTGTCAAGATTCTCCCAATGACAACTCCACTGGACTTCCATGCATTATGTTCACTTAAACGTGGTCTTGAAGGCCAAAGTCCAGATCCAATGGAGAGTCTATGTGAAGTCTGTCAGTGTGATCGAACAGTCTTGTTACAATGGAAACTGTTTAATCAGGGATATCAGATCAAATACAATCCACGACAGAAGAAGTCATTCAGAGAGCAGCACTCCTGTAAAATGTGATTAAACTCGGGTAGATTTATGTGTATCTATATGTAAAGCCTGAACAAAACCTCCCAAGACAATTTTTCCTTTTTAAATTAAATTAAAAAGTCACAGTGAACAACTTAAAAATATATATACACATATCCGAACCACATGATAAGCTTGAGTGAGATCCATTCTTGGAAAGGTATATTTTCAATAAAATGCTGCAGAAAGGTAGCAAGTAATTCATTTAAGTTTGAGGACAATAAACCACACAAAGAGACTATTAGAATACTCTTGACTTCAAACCTATAACAAAAAGTTATGTTTGAAAAAATTCCATCTTCAAAACTGTTCTATTACTGTAGTAAAAGGTTACGTAAAAATAGTTTCTAACTGATACAGAATATATATTACATTGATAGCAACTTTTACTTGTTAATTTTAAACATAAAATACATATGAAAAAATGTGTTAGTTGTAACATTTTAAACTTGTCTAAATACTGCATAAAAAATAAACTGAATAAATTCTCTTGAAGTCAGAAAATCTTCGCAAGTAAAAATTTACTGATTTATATCCAATCTATTTAAAAAATATTCTAGCATGAAGTTTTTACGACATCATAAGTACACTGATTTCCCTAAAAGGAAACGATTGGAGATCCGATAAATATCTTGTCACAGAGTATGTGTTCGTTTCTCCATAACACTGACCGAGTTCAACACAAAGGAAATATCTACACAGATCAAAGTTAAATAATTAAACACAAGGAAGTGTTTCTAGTGTGCTGTGAAGAACTGAAGAGAAACTTTTACTAAGTCTCTCTAAACAGTTCCAGTTCACAGTTAAGCTGTGAGCCAAGAAGTATGAATGAAAAAAAAACATTAATATTTCAAGTAAAAGTTTAAACAGAAATATATCTACATTAAAGTGAGCACTGTGAAAACTGTACCAAGAAGCAACAACATTTTTTTAAATTAAAAATTTATATTGAAAATAGGGTGCATACAGTATATGGTAACAAATCTAATTTTATATGTGTGTATATATATACATATATACACACAGACAGTCCAGACCACTTTTTCTGACAGGCATTGTGAAGAATAATGCACAGTTGCTAAAAATGTTTCATTTCAATGGTATGTCTTATTAATTATCTCTGCTTCTCAGGCATAAATGAAAAGTGCCTCCTGTTTTCAATAATTTTCAGCACCTTCAAACATGATTTTTGAAATAATATTATCACAAAGCTAAGTCTTGTGCTTTTTCAGATTTATTTATTTGGAAGTACAAAACTACTTAAATAATGAAGCATATTATGTTAATATAATAACAGGTAGGCAAACAACGATTTGTAAGCATAAGGAACAGTTTCATTGAAGGTGGAGCATACTGCATGTTTCGACAGAACATTGGTCTTCTTCACATACGATCTGTACTAAACCATTCAGGGTTTATATAGTTACATAAACAAATGATGTCAACACGTGACAAGACCTTGCCAAATACGGCTGAAGTTATCACAGTTTAATGAGCAATTGTTTGCTTTGATTATTTCTATAGTTTCTAAACAATCTTTGTTGGACATCTAACTTGGAAATGTTTCTTTGGATGTTCTACCAGATGGCACTTAAAACTGCAAACTTGTTTTTTTTAATCACATTTTCAACCTGTCGAGATGTTGTAGAACACTTGGTTTGAATAAAACTGGAGGAAAGAAATGCAAAGGACAAATGTAATTTCCCATGGAAATAAGATGCAAAGAATATCACGGTCACATGCATAGAGCTGAATTTCAAGTATCTGCTTTAACATATCATCAATTTGAAATAGGTCACAAAATACTTCTCCTATGCCAACCCAAAACTAAAAAATTTTACCAAAGATTACTAGAACTTGCTAACAAGCTAACCCCCAAAGAGTGGAGCAGTCTTGACTATGCCAGCTGGTTTAGATCAACTAACATTGCGGAAAAGAAAGGGGGCCAACCAAAACAAGAAACTCAAACGTTGACAGAAAACATTCTTGAAGATGTGAACATTTTTCCTCCTACAGTTTTAAATATCTGAAGTGAACCATTAACCAATAATCATGTTTTTGTGATTAAACTTAACGCTGTTAAACCTAGAAAATTACTTATCAAACAAACTGTTGCTACCACAGAATCCACTCTTTAAATCTGAACCTCAATGAAGCAGAAAAAATTAGAATCAACACGCATTCTAGACTTACGGCATATAGGGACAAAAACCTAACCTCAACAGAAATAAAGTCAATACCTTAAAAGAATTAAAATCTAATAATAAGATATACACAATGAGAACTGACAAAGGTGACTATACTGTAGTGGTAGATAAAACACCTTACAAAGCAGGTGCCAACACGTTATGAAATGACAGATCTTATACCGTACTTGATAGTGATCTTACGAACAAGGTTCTTACGAACATTAGAAAACTAATCAAAGGTTTTCCTGTTCTCACTGCTAAAGAAAAAATGTCCCTTATCCCCACACATTAATAACCCCCCCCCCCATTTTTATGCCCTTCCTAAAATTCACAAAGATAACATTTTTTAAAGACCTATAGCATCTAGCAATGGGCCCACTGATACAAAACGTTGTTAAAACTAACTCTACTTAAAACTAACCCCTATTCTCTCAAAAACTTCAAACTAAACCAAGAAGTTATCTTAGTATCTTTCAATATAAAATCTATATTTACTTCAGTACCTGTAGAACAAGCTTCACATCATCTAAGAAAAAAACTAGAAGACAATCCTGTAACAGACCACCTCACAGAATACTGCTTAAACAACACTTATTTTACAAACAAAATAATGGATTAGCAATGACATCCCCCCTTTCCCCTCTATGTGGTGACCTCTACATATCTGTTCTAGAAGAATAACTGTCTGGAAACAAATTCATACACATCAAGACACCAGAAATCTGATTAAGATATGTTGACAATATTTTTAGTATATGGCAATGTGAGAAAGATGCTCTACTTAATTTTATTGAATTCTTAAACACCTTAAGACCCAATGTCACAATTTTCACACATGAAGGTACAATCTAACAGTTGCCTTCCATTTTAAGAAGTTAATGTAAAAAGAGAAACTAATAAAGTGACGCCAGTATATACAGGAAACCCCATTCCATCACACCTAAGATCTAATCACAAAAAAACACCCTCCTACTTCACCTATGTAAATCATGCTATACAACTTTGCACTCACAAAGAAGACTTAAAACTACTTAATTAATATAGCACTAACTACAGGTTTCAATCCCAACATCATGTTAACTCTTAACCTTTCACCTATCAACAACATAAAACATGTTTACTCTTGACCTTTCACCTATCAACAACATAAAACATGTTAACTCCTAACCTTTCACCTATCAACAACATAAAACATGTTACTCTTAAACTTTCATCTATCAACAACATAAAACATGTTAACTCCTAACCTTTCACCTATCAACAACATAAAACATGTTAACTCCTAACCTTTCATCTATCAACAACATAAAACATGTTAACTCTTAACCTTTCACCTATCAACAACACAAAACATGTTAACTCCTAACCTTTCATCTATCAACAACATAAAACATGTTAACTCTTAACCTTTCACCTATCAACAACATAAAACATGTTTACTCTTAACCTTTCACCTATCAACAACATAAAACATGTTAACTCTTAACCTTTCACCTATCAACAACATAAAACATGTTAACTCTTAACCTTTCGTCTATCAACAGCAAAACATGTTAACTCTTAAACTTTCACCTATCAACAACATAAAACATGTTAACTCCTAACCTTTCACCTATCAACAACATAAAACATGTTAACTCCTAACCTTTCATCTATCAACAACATAAAACATGTTAACTCTTAACCTTTCACCTATCAACAAC